TACTGTGTCAGTCTGGAGGGGTGGATCTATGGTAGTGAAGCGTTAGCAGCTGATGTCAGGGGCCCGACAGAGAGGAGTCACGCTCCGACCACCACAGTCGCCCTGCACTCACACAGGTGGTGATGTGGAAAATGTACGGCCTATATTTGCTCCAATATCAACGGGCCGCTCATGTAAAACAGCACATCCATTGTTGAATGGACTTCCTGTTCTGACCAACGATTAAATCGGAGGTTCTCTTGTTTCCACTGAATAAGCCTGTGAACAAGCAACAAATGCAGGATCCTGTGAAACTGTCAATAACAATCTCGACTAACCTGCTGATTTGTGCATGAAGAACATGCCCCCTTTCAGTTCCACACGCTGTGGGCGGGCCGTGCTGGTTCGAGTGCCACACTGGTTTCAGTTACACAAGTGTGTCACTGCCTGACACTAAACGCTCCCTGTATTTCAGGTACGCCATCTCCATGGCGAGGAAGATCGGTGCCCGGGTGTACGCTCTGCCCGAGGACCTGGTGGAGGTCAAACCTAAGATGGTGATGACGGTGTTCGCCTGCCTCATGGCACGCGGCATGAAGAGAGCCTAAAGTCTCGACCCTGCACCATCAGAGACCTGGACGGATGCTGAACCTGCAACCAGGGCAGAGAGGAAGTGGAAGCTTATGCAGAGGCTCAGCTGTATTTGTGACATCAACAGTCCAGTAACCTGAAATTTTGGATATGCAAGGAAATGAGAGAAAACGGGTAGAGATGATTCTATTTTAGTTATGTACACATTTCAAAGCTGAAAACATCCTGGACAAGCATTTCTCCCAGGCAGAAATTAATAAATAATGATGAGGCGTGATGGTACACGTGGAACGACCGGCAAATTGATATCTGACTGAAACTCAATGTGGCAACAAAGCCACCTACTGCAGAGAACAGCAGTCGATCAACACTTTGACAGTTCAGGTATTAATAGCCAACATTTCTGGTTCCAATGATCAATGAGCCTGAGCGGCTGCTAACACCAAAAACAGATCAATATAGTTACATTTTTATATGTTTCACCATCTGATTGGAGGCGACAGTAGAAAGCTGTTTATTCCTGTAACAGTATTACGTGTGTTTCGGTTATATTTCTGACTCATCTGACCTTTGACAGTCTGTCAGTTTCAGGGCTCCACATCAGCTTTCCAATGTGCTGCTTCTCTGTTCAAACAGTGCTCCCTCGTCACAGCCACCGGTCATTGATTTTGTTTTTTAAATGGATAAATAACGATGCTGATTTAGTGCAACGCACAGGCACCCACTCTGCTTTTCTGATCTCTGCCTCAGTGTGCAGCAGTGAAGCAGGTTAGTCTGTGCACAGCTGTTTCCTCTTGTTCATCTCCGTTTCACTTGATTACAAACGTTACAAATCAGAAACCCGCTGCCAAATGTGTACAACAAATAAAGTGATTTTTGTATTAAAATGGTGTCACCGTTTGATTTTATAGACACTCTCCTGGTAGTTTTGGGTTTAGTAGGAAGAGGGTGACATGCTTTTCACTTTGCTGCAGACAGTTGGATAAGAAGACTGGTACCGCTCATGTCTGGAGTGCTGACAATGACAGCCTCAAAAATGCATTCTGTTAATTATTAGACTCAGTTGGCTTTTCTCAAATTGTAAACAAACCCACTCACTGTTTTAATCACACTTTTGATCTTGTTCTGATGTATGGCATCGAAACTGAACACTTAATATCTTCTATCTGACCATTTTCTAATAACTTTTGAATTTATATTAATGGATTATACTCTATATGGGAAACAATTCCACTATAGTAGATGTCTATCTGACAAGTTTAAGGAAATAATTCCATCTTTATCTACTTCAGTGCCATTTGCCAACACAGTGGAGGGAGGCCACCTTAACTTTACTCCCACACAAGTCGATAATCTTGTTGATAGTACTGCAGCCTTCCTGCAGAATACACTTGATACCATTGCCCCTCTGAAAAGGAAGGCTGTGAAAGAGAGGAGGTTAGCCCTGTGGTACAGCTCGCAACTCCGCTCCTTAAAGCAGGCATCGCGAAAACTGGAAAGGAGGCGGCGCTCCACTAAGTCAGAAGAGTTTTTCATAGCCTGGAAAGATAGTTTAAT